ATTTTAACGACAATTAATAATAGGTTAATGAGACATTTTCATGTAAATACTTTCATTTGGTATGGAAGTACATGATGAAGAGATTCGTAGGTCAATCTCATCCGAAAACGTCGGCTGATTCGCGTTGAGCTGAAGCCATTTGGCATTGAAAACACGTTCAGGTTGATGCAATCCACGAGACATTCTCCAACGCTTCGGGCGAGAACGGGCCGAGCCTTCGTTCGTCATGCCACAAGACGAGCATCGTCAGAGCCGAGACTCATTCTTGTAAAAGCCCCAAGTTGACATCAAGTCAAGAAGACTAACTGGCCTTTATCAAAATGATGTATATTCTCATTTCAACACAAGATGGATAAAGAAAGGTTTGGTTAATTCATGTATCCTCTAGTGTGTCTGTGCGTGTGTATGTCTGTGTGCCAACGTCTGAACGCACAACCGGCCATAACTCAGAGTAGTTAGGAAAAAGGTCAACATCATACCGGGTCATCAAGACCTAATGACCCAACGAAAAAAGGAAAGACAACTGGATGACTCAGATTGCATTATTCCGTAAGTAGTCCTGGTTAAATTGATGAAATGTAATCGTTGATTGGAAGTTTTGGGCGAAGAGATTCGATGGTCCATTCCACCAGAAGACGACGGCCCATTCCTCTTGACCAGCTGTCAATTAACTTTACAGGAAGATTCCTGATGACGCTGGCTCCGAGGTGTAATCTCCTTCGATTCCGGTGAAAAGGTGCCAAGCCTCCGTCCGTCCAATGACGAACAGCATCAGAGCGAGGTAACATCGTCACGGCAAAATTCAAGCTAACGAGTCAAGAAAACTCATGGTGGAACCGACCTTCATATCGCTTCACTCAACACTCCCACTCGAAATGGAAGTAGGCTCAACAATAATGAACCAAGAGATTCCTCGAACCCCAACTTTTCTTCGTATATGATCAAATGTAAGTCTGTACACGCAAAAGTCAGGCTACAAAAGAGCCAGTTCGGACCCGTTAGTCTGGGTTGTTAAGGTTCAATGAGCCAAGGAGTAGCTTGACTGGGATTTTGTTTTGGTTGATGAACTTGACATTTCTGTTGAACGAGTGTTGACTTGGCTGGAACCATCCCTCAACTGACAAGTTGAGTCGTCTTCATTTGGACAGTAGCTCAACAGCCTCTTCCTCCTTCAATCTGTCAATCAAACAAACTCATTCTTACTCGACCTCTTACCATCATTCCTCATATTCGATGGATTCCTTGATCTGTTTATTTCAATAAAATCGCTTATCTTATCTTTCATAGCAGACACACAATGATCGGCCAACCTCTGCGTACGAGATCTTTCCATCTTCTGCCCAGTTTCCGCTCTGTGCTCAGCCACTTCTAAACATTCGATACAGTGGCCCTACAAGCATTATTGTGCTCTGCTTAACTTTCACAGATCGGCCGACAGGTCTTTTCAACACACGGTCGCTCACATGAGCACACAATCTTATAACAGCCGGATCTTGATAATAGATCATATTTGTCTCTAAAAGAAAGTGTCAGAGTTTCGTTGAAACTTGTCTTTATCCTCCACTTCTTCACCTGTTCGACTATCTTCTTGGAATTAAAATATGTCAACAATATTAGAACATGAGAAAGGGTGAAATAGTCTCCGCCTTAATGTTTATTCCTTATTAAAGATATATTCTTACGAATTAAGCCCATGAGATAATTTTTCTCCAAGAGCAAATCTTTCAGTCTTCTCAACTATTCGGTAA